TTCGCTTTAATTTTCGATAAAAACACACCTATGGCATGTCAGATATTTTTCCGATAAAAGGACATAGTCATGAGACATTCGGAGGAAACGTACCGGTATGTCAAGCGAACTTTATCGATGAACATTCACATAAATGTGAAAACGCAAAAACACTGGCCGACATCGGTTAATGGTTTGCAAGAGCCTGAGCAAAGCAGCTTGTATCATCATGATCTAAGGAAGCTTATTAATCACACTTACTCGTCTCCAGACATGAAAACGTCGGCATCGCCAGATTCGCCACTAGCAGCGCTGGAGTTTGCTCTATCCCTCCTCATTTCTAATAGAGAACCGTGAGTGATTCCATACTCTAATGGGACAAAAGAAAACAGAAAGTGCTGTTAGATCTTCTGTTTTTGCTCTTTCTCTCTCTCTTTTACTCAGTTACGTTTTCTTGTGCATTCTCTTGATTACCGTTTACAAAATATTTTATGGCAGTGCCTCTGTTTCATTAGTTACTCTAATGGTTTAATAGTTTTCAAGGGATTATCAGTTGTACCTTGCAGTGGAGCCTTGTCTTGATCTGGATCAAAGACTCTCTCTTGCATCGCAAATGTAACTTTCTCTAACTCTGTTCTCTTGCCCCCCGTTTCCACCTTTTTTACCAAATCCTTGAATGTCTCTTGAGGACCACATCTCACATCGACTGTTTGCGATCTATTCGGAAACAAAACTTGAACTGTGATGAAGATTATGTTCACTTTCAGCTCCAACTTTGATCCAGAGACAAGGCCAAGGCTTGTTAAGGTTCCTTCATCTTTGGTAGGACACATTTGTCTTCCATTGAAGTAGAGAATGGCTTCTTCGTTTTCCTGAAGGGAGCTGCACGAAAGTATTTCTTCGATGAGCGCTTGCAGGCTTTTTTCTTTATCTATCTTTATGGTATGTAAGACGCCATTTTCATTTGCTACTGTGATATGAATATACTCTGGAACAATGAGTATTAACGTCGGCTGTGGACTACAGATGAGTCCATAAGGAAGGCCTCTTCTTGGTGCGTCTGACAGACGGGCTCTACCAAGGTACAGCTTTTGGTCCCTTATAGGAACGTTTAACTTCCTTTCTATCTGTTCCATTAAATCGCACACCTTTGCTCTGCCTGGATGTACCTTCAGGGAGAAATTTGTCCCGGTTGACTTCTCGATCGTAATCTCAAGTTCGGTATCGACAAGTCTTAGATTTCTTGTAGATAAACCCCTAATAAAACACACAGACAAAAAAAAACAAAAAACAAAAGACAAGGAATGATAAATATCGCTAAATAGAAAAGCGGAAAAAAATATGGATTTCAGTTAGAGTTTTGCTCAAGTGTCTTTTGCCGACAAATCTTTTAATCCATAAGATGAGGTGAGATGAGATGAGATGAGATAATACGAAACCATTAAACCACATGTTTAGCCGGCACCTAAACCTTACATGCGGAGAGTGTTTGTACTTACCTCACTGAATGGGAGTTAAATAAAACGTTGTCATCTGAACAAAGCACCTGATCCGGGTCTTCAGTCACATTCAACTTCTGTTGTATTTCACGTTTAAGGTCACCAACTGACGCAGATGGAGGCATGTTTATATTCACTGGCTGAGGTGATTCAGAAATTATCACAGGAATATCTAGGAACGCTTCAGGTGTGAAAACACACTTCACAACACCATTTTTGGCCCTGCCTGGTTCAATCCCCGCTTCTTCAGGCGCGGTTTTCACGCGGTAGAACGTGAATTTCTTTGCCTCGTACGCAGACCTCTCTATTGTGAACTCTTGTCCCCCATCAACAACCCACCCTCCTACGTCATAACCATCAATAGATACATCCAAATTGCAAGCTGTAGACAGGGAATGGAGACATTAATTTTGAATGAGCTTTTAAATTCTATTAGCTAAGCTGTGTTTTATTGAATTAATGTGTTTGTAATCAGGATTGATCAATTAGAGTTTGATAGGTACTGGCTGGCTATTCGCCCTTTTGGGAAGCTGCGCGTCGAACTGTGTTTTCTCTTTTCTGCGACGCAGATCTATTCTCCAAGAGCCCTTGACGACAATCTTCTCGGATCTCTCGCATTTTTTTATTCCTGCGACTGTTTTATCAATTATTTTGAAGACACGGACATTTGGCCGGTTATCTTTGTTACAAGATCGTATAAGCGTATCCGATTTCTGTTAATAATCGGATGCTTTACTTGTCTTGACCATGTCATGCTGGAATGCGCGTCTATTCTAATACGCCTCGCGATTATTTACTTATTGAAACAGTCTTGTTATTCTATAGTATGTCATCATGCACTTTTTTCCAGTAATAGTCTCGTCCGTTTAAAAGACAGG